ATGCAATAAACTCATCTGTTTTACTTCATCTCGGGATCAAGAACCTTATTCGTTCTGTTACAACAGTTGTAATAAGGTCTCTGGCAATAAGCATTTAGAAAATGGCTTATTACATTTGTTTTATTGTAAAATGCAGTTCTTTGCAGTGATTGCCCCCAAACTTCAATAGTGACTGAAGCTCACTTTGATATTCAATATTTAATATTTAATATTTTTTGTACAGAACAGTTCTTAAAATAGGAGAACTCTGCATGTGTTAAAACTCACTTCCATACAGTATTTACATAGCTTCTACACTTTGGAGTCTAAACACAATTTTCAATTGTATTGTATTTATTGCTTTAAGACACAGTATGTAACACTGATAATATCTGAAATCCATCAGAGCTGTAAGAATCATCAAATTAAATTATCCTGCCATGATAACTTTAGTAAGGAACTTTGGTGAAAATCGTTGTTTCTGCACAAAGTACTCTGTGACTCTTTTTCCAAGTTACTTGCAAGGAAATGCAAAAATAAAGAACAAAAGCTTGAAAACTGTAAAAAAATGTTTATTCATTTTGTTTCCAGTGCTACCTTCCCAGGGCTGGAGAACTCCAGTTATAAATAGCATACTGTACAATACAAGTTTTTACCTTAGCTTTTAAACAAACTTTTATCTTTTTTTCTCTACTTTCCTGTATCTGACAACTATACACATACAACACATCCATAAAAGCAATAAACTGCAGTCCAACAGACAATCAAACATACCACAAAAGGGAACTAGTTCTTACTTTTTAACACTGTGATGCTTAATATAGTTCTACATATATATAAAAATGTACAGTATGACATTGTTTGTGTCTCAGTGCAAAAGATATATCCAAAAGGAAAGCCGTGCCCTTTTAATTTTTTGTTCCTCCAAATGAAATTCAACATTTGGTCTATTTGGAAAACATCACATTAACAATAAATAATACATAACCATTTTACAGTCACTGTGAATTAGCAGCAGTGGTTAGCTTAAATTAAAAAAAAATCAAAAACTATAGTGCCTTATCTTTTGCTCCAAAGTCAGTTATAAATAAACAGTAATAATAAATAATAAGTATACCCCAAACCCGGTGTCTGTGTTGGTTATTTACAATGCTCTTCAAGTTCTCTGGCTTTTTTCCTAGTTCTAAAACAATAAGAAAAGGCAATAGCAGTCTCTGAAACCGACAGTATCAGCTTGTACAAATGCTATTAATGGATACAATGGCCGGATCAACCAGGCCCAGCTCCTCGTGTTCATTGACACACAGCTGATAGCCGCAGCCCCTCCTCCTCTGAATGGGAGTGACTTTGCCATCGGGCTTGGCACGAGGTGGGAGAAGGAACCCCACGCTGCCAGCAATCAGCATGTGCCAGATGCTGTGAATGTAGAAGTAGTTCTCCTCCGTCTCCACGAAGGCGTACAGAGCCACGGCTGAGGTGGCAATCATGGTGCCAGGAAAGAGGTAGAAAACCCATCGTTTCCAAGTGGGTGGGTAGCAGCGCCGTCTTCTGATCGTGCGTACAGTCTGAAATGAAATATTTTAGACAAAAGCTTCAGAAATGGCTTTCCACTGCTGCCTTTTTCTCATCATGGGCATGATAAGAAGCATTAACTAACAAATTAAAATTAAACCTGCAACTTTAAATGCATCCATGCTAAAAATGGCGAGTAAGCCTCTGGTCTCATGACAGGTTGCAGATTTACAGTATGCCCCTCTTACAGACCTTACTGTGGCACCCTTGAGTGGGGTGCTGTGCTGTTCAGGACTAAAAAGATTCCTTAGTTTAATACATGGCAGAGAGAACAGATAGAAAAATCGACTTCAGAGTCCATTGTTAGGGTGTTACCTTTTCTTCGTGATAAATTAAATCTCATTTTCCCACTTTTTATAAAATCTTTCACCCCACTGTGACCTTGAAATTTAACCGTTTTTTTAATGCTTGATGTTACAGTATTTTTGTTACTTATTTGCTTTACTGCCAGGGAGAACTTGATAGCTTAAAGCACTAGTGATGGGAAAGTAAAGAAATACTACAGCATACATACTGTATGCTCCTTTATTTCCTTTTCTTTATACATTGTCTTACTGCCAAGTGAGTAGTACAGTAACTAGCACTCATTTCTAACTTAATCAACCAGCATTTTAAAGCGTGGCAAGGAAGGGATTTATCTATAGCAGTAATCAATTCTGCTTTCTGTTAGGATTTTTCCCCTTCTTCCCAGACTCTATGTACTTTCTTCCTTCTCTTAAATGGATGGAGGGACAACATGCTCGCCCCCAACACACACACCCCTTGTTTTGCCTCTGTAGCCCTCACAGGTGTTGTAACATAAAATAAACTTCAAAGGGTTGTCTAAGAAACAGGGGTATTTTGAAGGACGAGAAGAAAAGACCAGTGATGTAATTAATGTAAGAGACCTAATGCTTATTGAATGCCTTTTCGGATGAGTTCTCCTAAATTATTTTTTCTTAATTGCCACTTTTATTGAACTAGAAAAAGTGGTGCAAATGGAACTTTGTTTCTATTATTTTTGGAAATGTGAACATGCTGTAGAACACTTTCTCTGAAAGCAGTTCTAGTGATAATAAACTGAACTGGTGTTAAACTAAATACAAATTGAAAATCCTTCAACAGTGTTTTAATTTTCATTTTGATTTTCTCTATTTTTAATTATTTTTAATAACACTTCAGTACAGTGTCTGCCAATTCATATAGTTCATGTACTGTATAAACCCCATATAAACTTTAATGCATAAGAGAACATTGGTACTGTACCAGTAACCAGTACCAGTAAGTACAGTAAGTGTCAACTAGTAAGGATTAATTGTATGGTTATTAATCAGAGGTTTGGTTATTGGTTATTGAGTGAAGTTTGAGAGTTGTGACTTATACTTCTTTGAGTATTGATTTAACTTCACAACTGAACATAAAAAGTGCAACTGGCATACAGTAGTTAATATGGTGTTAACAACATTGCAAAGTGCTTGAAACAACTCATTAGTTCTACACAAGATATACTGTAGGTGCACAGATAGAAATAATAAAAAAAATATATTTTCGTCAATTCCAAAATGATACCCATCACTAAATTGCAATTTCCCCCAAAACATGACATACATGACAGTTGAAATGCTGTAGAACACCTATACTACACTTACAATAATCTTATATCTTAAATGTGAGCAATTATTAATGAGTTATTAAAAAAATTAATAGCAATGCAAAGTCAATTAACTACACTAGAATAAAATAAATTCTGTATAATTCTCACTGATGTAAAAATAAAACCAAGTTTTATTGACATTATAGACCATGGAAAATGATTTGGAAATTCTGTTTTGTGGACGTAGGGGAATATTCTGTCATCTTGATATTTTTTATATAATGATCCACTTTTTTATTCCCTAATCAACTCTAAAACCTCCTATTAGTAGAGCAGTCTGTCACTGAAATTGTATTTAGCATATGTACTGGCATATTTCAAGTAAATCACCTGGGCACCCTGATTTTAAGAAGGTGGGAGGATTGAAAATGAAAGTAGGACAGCTTTCGATTAGACAATTCAATAAAGCATTTTTTATGACATTTAAAGACTTGTTACAACTCTCGCATTCTTTGTCACTCAATAATGCTCGCCTCCACTGCCAGAACTTCCTAGCACAGCGCCCACACACTGGCTTCAGTAACAATCCTTCGTAAGAGAAACTTTCACAAATGTTAAGTTTCATACAGGATTATCTACATTCGGCCTTCAGTCCTTGCTTATATAATTACCTCAGCTGAAAGCTAGCTTATTGACATTGTTTGTGGAGGTACTTCAATGTCGTCCTATTTCTCTTTTGATTGTGCTTATTTTGTTTTTTTTTTCAAAGCTGCAATTTGTTTTCATGTGGAGCTCAAGGGATGCTATCAAGGAAGTCATAATTTGCTTCTTAATTAGTTTCCTTTCTTTATTATCTGACTACAAAACATGTAGAATGATTTCAAAATGTTTAATGAGGACACCTGTGACAACCTCTTATTAACTTTAAAAGATACACAGACGGTAAAGAAAAACAGATTCATTCAGCTTTTGGTTCATACTCAGACTAGTAATATTGACTAAATATTCATTCTTTAATAATACTGTTTGCTTTTGTAGACGTTTCATGCAAAGTAAACTTCATAGGGAAAAAAAAAAACATGTTGCACCCCCATAAAAGAAGCAAAAGAATTTGACTGTTTTTTAATTAAGGTGGTCTATTATCAGAGTCAGTACTGAACACAAAATATTTTTTTAACTTAATTACCTAAGCCACCACTTATCTAATAGTAACTGTAAACACTTGTAAAGTGTGTTTTTCTGGGATCAGACATTTGCGCAATATTTGTGTATCGTATTATGTACTGTACAGTATATAATGCAGACTTAGACTGCATGATGTAGAAGAACAATTTCTTTTCTTGTGTATATTTATAGACACAGTCTATAGAATTTTACAAATGGCAGAAAACCATATGAATTCCACATTCATAAATGCCTCATGGAAATTGCAGGAAAGCCATTTAACTTTGATAACTTTCTTGTAGCCATAATAACTTTGAGAGATGAGATAAATAAATGAGCCCTTAATTAATGAGGTATATCAATGTGATAATACAGACCTTTACTGAGACTGGAGTATAACAGGCCTCAAGCCATGATTGTAATGTAAACCTTTCATATCTTTATGACCATTTCTGATAATGATAAGGACTTATTCTTTGTAAAGAAAAGTCTGGAATTTTTTCTGCTAAATCAGTCAGGGTGAAGAGTTAAGGAAAGAAATCATTGGTCTCTACTGTTGTTTAGGCTTTACTTATACAAAACTAAATAATAAGGATTTATTTTGAAATATTAGTTTTTATCTTTAAATTGAAGTTACTACCTGCAGTTTGGGAGGAATAACAAGTCAATCTCACACAGCTTTACCTAATCACCATCATTACAAAACTATGCATATACTGAACTCCCTTTCCGTTAATCTCAAGCATCCCTTCTCCACCCCAATCTCACCTTGCAGCTACTCCTTCACACGGTCTGAATGGAGTTTGAACCTCCTCATGCTTTAGCCAGGAGGCTGCCCATTAACCAAGTGGGTAAAGCCAAACTTTTCTCACCAAGTATTCTAAGCATTCACGAAGCTTTCAAATTCATGGTTGTTGTTGTCTCTAGTAACATAGAGTTCTGGTTGGCCGAACACATTTTGTCACGGAAAGTTACAAATATGTAGTTGGTGCTTTTGAGACGGCATTGCTTCTTTGTTCAAGCACAACATCACAGATTTAAGACAGTCACAATCCATACAGTACATGGGATTGCTAACCATGTCCCTGCAGAGGCAGAATCCAGTGGGTCTTATAATTCACACTGAGATCATTAGTTTGTGAATGTGTTTGGAACACATGTGGGTTTTGAACATTTGAGTCAGTTAATGGGTTCATTGAAGTCAGGGATGATCAGCTGTGTCACTTGAAACCCACAGCCTATCTGTATTTTCAAATTATAATCACTTAATTGAACAAATCATCTGCTCAAGTGGTCAAAACAAAATTGATCTAAGTACTTAGATTTTCATTACTTAAGGTTGGTCCTGGTTTGTGGTTCTCCAGGACCAGAGTTGGCCATCTCAAATGTATACATAAAGTATAATTGCACAACTTGTTCTTAGTACATACTGTACCTCACTCTGTTGGCAACACTTTAATTTTCTTGGTGTTGTGTGAAATTTGATCCAGACTGTGAAAGACTGGAATTCACAGTTCTTTATGTGGTTACGAATTATATTCTATTACTAAAAATGTCCGAAGCAATGCCTACTGTGAAGATGTAGTTTAATCAAATGTTAGACATTATAGTTCATTAAAAACTTGCAGCATAATTTTGTGTTAGTCTCTCTATATAATTAAATGATGGGAGAAGATATTTGGAGTATACATTGGGTAACTGTAATGCCTTTGAGATTAATATACTCTGTATTTTGCTATTTTTAGTGAGACTCTAATGATTTTCAAATCTAATTACTTAAAATCACAATGAATGAGAATTTACTCAGTCATACATAAATGTGTGCACAGACACATTTCAGTGTACGTGTTTAATTGTGTCGAATTGTGCTTTTTTCAGTTTTCAAAAGAACTTTACCCCAGTACAGCTCAGTACAGCTTGGTGCAGCACACGTGCATTCAAAAGAATTAGGCCAACATCAGCTGTTCCTCCTTCATTTATTTACTGTAACTTCTTAATTGACGTTCGAATCAACTTTTCCAGATCAAAATACTCCTGATTCAAGGTTCAAAGGGATAAAATGAAAAGTAGGGGTTTGACAGTCAGGAGCTTTAATAGCACAATTCCATAGTTTCCCTTTAGGTTTAAAAGCATTACACACTGCCAATGCACTTCACCTGCAAACCTTTTAGTTCTGTTCCACTTTGAAGAGCCATTTATGATGCATCATAACACCAACAACAGGTAAGCCCAGTCAAAACCCATGGGATGGTATAAGGAAAAGTGAACTAAATCCATTTCATAACCCTGCAGTGTAAAAATGTTGAGAAACTCAAAATGCACTTATTTGATTCTAATGTTTTGTTTATAGGCTTTGTTTGTTTTTCTTTTAAAACATATATTTTAATATTCTTAGGTTATATATAAAATCTGGAAAGCTTCCCTAGAATTACTAGATAAATGAATGTGGAATATTAATGCAGTCCAAGGTTTTACTTATCACATAAAACCAAAACTGCTTAGGATATAATTCTTTTTCACTATGTTATGCTTTCCCATCCAATTTGTTCAGTTTCTGTCATATCTCAAACCTCATGCTGGACTGTCACATTAAAGAAAACAGATTTCTTGTTTCCAGTTGAGTGACCTATTGTGAGAATGTCTGTGAAAATTCAAGACACAAGGCCTTGTGAAAGCATAGGTTCACAGAAAGTAACCTTAATATGAGATGTGTGGCACTCATATTAATGTAAAACTCAACAGGCTTGATTCTTTGTAATTTCCTGCGCAGGAAAAAAAAGACCCTTTGGCCTAAAACAAATGATGACTTTCATCAATTCCATTGTCATTCATTTGTCATTTAAAATTGTGGCCTTCTGGGGACTTCAGATTTTACAAAATAAGAAGCTGTTTAGTGAAATTAACTATTTAACTAGCCTTTTACCTCTGGGATCTGTAGCTTCAGCTAAATAAATCTGATATTATTTGTATCATCTGGCCACAGTGGTGATTTTTCAGTTTCACAGCCTCGCCCTACACATCCTGGCAGCCTGGTGCAGAGATGTTCAGGGGGATGGGGATGCAGGGTACGAGAAAGGGTGGAAGGATGTGGCTGGGTTTGATCAGTTATTTAATCTCTAATTTGACTCTCTGTGGTCATTAAAAATCCCAGGGCATTTACTTGAAAAGAGTAGGGTGTAGTCCTAGCCAAATTTCCCATTGGCCCTTACCAATCATGGCCTACTAATAATCCCCATCTATGAATTGGCTTCAGCACTCTGCTCTCCTCCCCACTGATAGCTGATGTGTGGGGAGCGTTCTGGCACACTATGGCTGTCATCGCATCATCCAGGTGGATGCTGCACATTGGTGGTGGTGGAGGGGAGTCCCCATTACTTGTAAAAAGCTTTGAGTGGAGTGTCCAGAAAAGCAATTATTATTATTAATTAATCAGGACTTAGGTACTCTTCATGCACAGAACCAGAAATAGGAGAGGTTTGGCCAACATACTTAATCAGAGGAAATACAATTATGGCTGCAGAAGAAAATATGATAGGATTAAAAACAGGGTCGTGAGAAAAGATCAAGGACTAATGAAAATCATTAACTGTGAATCCTAAGTAAAATAAGGAACATTTTAGTTTCCCTTTGAAGGCCTTTTACAGTATATCTCATATTGTATCCAGGTAATTTACATTACATTAATTCTATACAAAAATACAGAATTTTGAAAATTAAAATTGAACAAATGAACAAGTAAGCAATGAAAGAAAAAGAAACGGTAGTGCTAGTTATTTATTCATATAGATCCAGGACATAATGGGCAGTTTTGTACCTTGAAAAGAGGTTAGATTTTAAGACTAGAAAAGATACTTTGCACAGGATTTATTTTTTTCTTTAATCTTATTATCTTCTTTAAAAAAATGATTTATTTAGAACACACACGGTGTATGAGTTGTAGACATCCAGAAATACACAATCAAGTGAGTTTGTTAGTGTGTAAATAGCAGAAAGTACTGAGTAAGAATGCCATTTACAAATGGAGTGACACCCAGAAAGGAATTGTTATTCACATTAATTTTCACGCCTGACCTTCACCACCTGAAATGAACTTTCTAGATTTATCAGCGACATTTGACAAATGAAGTTAAATGTGTCTCACTATAAAAATCTCCATGCTTGAGTTTTGGTAATTTAATGCAATGTTAGAAGAAATGAATGTGTTCAGTACTAACAGTGTACAGTAAGTCACCAGGAGCAGAAATGAAACAAATTGAATTTTTGGTCAAAGTGGTGAGTGCAGCACAAGGGGACTTATATTCAGACTACATTGGAAAATGCTGAGTAAAAAGTGGTTTAAATTAAAGTTATTTTTCAATATCCTCTTAGTTCAGACAGTACATTGGTATACAGTACATAAAACAGTCAGGATAAGAACATGTTGGCTTGTGATGGAACTAAACTGTATGACTAATACTTACAGGATAAAATAAGTTTAAATGCCTTTCAGAGAGTTTATGTGCATTTGTAAGATAAATGTGCTGTGTTATTATGCACAAACGCATTTAAATAAAATGTATTTAGATGAGGAGTATGACATTTAAAAATAAATTGATAAGAAAGATCTTTTGCATGAAAATCAAGAGTTTTTAGGCACTTGTGAATAATATGACTATCTTAATATTGAATACGAAACCACACGATTTTTTGCAAAAAAATAGGTTTCACAGAAAAAGCTGGTTAAAATAAGCAACTGCTTATTCTTCCAAGATCCTTTTACTGTTCACTCACTGTGTAATACTTGGTATTAGAATACATACTGTAATTCTTTTTAAACATAGTTCTCCAAAGAACTTGCATCGGAAAGAAGCTTTTCCCAGGCCCTATGACGGAGCTCTTACCCAAGCTATTGCCATAATCCCTAAGGCAAAAAGGCTGGGTCCCAGGAGATTCCACAGGCCATGTCGGTCCAGCTGCAGTGCCATGGACAGCAGCATTGCTCCAAGCAAATACAGCACCTTTAGCAGAACAAAGAATTACTGACATTTGAATATATATACAGTACACATTTGCATTGCACAGCCCAAAACAAATCCTCTTCATGCCATCTGGCAGTCCCCAGGTTAGGGAAGCCCAATTCAATCAGAGTAACTGGAGAGCAGTCAATCAGTCTGTAACAGTGGGAGGCATTATCATGTGCCAGCAGGTGACTGGTGGAAATATCTTCCCTGCAGAAAAGCCATGTGCATTTTGATTAACCACCGGGCCTCTCAGTGCAGGCCCTCCTTTGCAACCTAGCGGCTGCCAGACAGTTTTGACAGAGGCTGTTCCAAGCTGTTGAGGGGAGGAACAGAATGATTGATCTAAACTCTGAGGTGCCCTGAAACATTCACACGCATACACGGGAGATCTGAAACGACATCAAAAACATTGCTTTCTGGTATTTATGTGACAGTATAAAAATGAGTGATTACATATAATTTATGATGGGTAGAAATGCAAGATTGCATTGTAAGAACTTGTAACCTTCTCTGTCTTATGCTGTACGTACATTTATTTTTTTTAGGATTTGCTCTACATTTTCTAGAAAGGTGCTGCTATTCATTTGTTGCCATCTTTGATGCTAAAACCATAAATCAGAAGTGCCTAGAAATATTTTTGAGAGAATTTGAAATAGGAGACATCCATCTGATCAGCAAAACCAATGCATTTGCAAATACATCTACAGTACTCCTCCAGCACGCCAATGCAATCAGAAAATGCACAAGTGTTGCTGTAGACTCTCAGCAAGCCGAAGATGAAGGAAAAGAATCAGATAACAAAGAAAAAGGTTGTATTCAATTTACCTGTTTAATAATGGACTTCAGTCTTGCCATGGCAATAACTGTGACCCACACAGACATGAGTGACCCCAGGAAGTCACAGAACTGCAGAACATCATACTCCATTATACAGAACACCACAATCCCAGGCTGGTCACAGGCATGGTAAAACTGAAAGCAGATAGTTGAACAGAAAAAAACAATGTGAATAACTGTAACAATTTGCTACGCGTAACGTTCTCAGTTTCCTTTCATTTAGCATTGAAATGTAACCATAGTTGACCCTACAATGAGAAAATCAGTTTTGACTCTTTACAAATGGAATGTGCAGTATGCAGAGTGGAATCTAAGCACTGTCAAAACATCTCTATAGTTTCCACTGCACACTGAAAGGGAGTATTGAAAATTAAAAGTACTGTATATGAAGTGCATTATTAACATTTTCCCAGCAAATCTATGAAAGTTACTTCATCAGAAGAAATAGAAAAATCTCTGGAATCCCAGAGACCATTTGTACTTTGGCAAGTTACAGTATTATTATGCTTGAAATATCAATTCAATGTACCATAAATTACACAAATATCCTAGGCATTTCTGTGTTGACTTCTGTACAGTATGTGTGTAGACATGAGGTTTTGAATGTATTTTCAGCATGAAGTATTGTAATAAAAAGATTACTAATATCTTTACAAAAAACGGGCATTTAATTTGAAACAATATAAGAAAATCATACATCATTGGACAGTATTGGACTAAGCAGTGATTGAAAATGGTTAGAAAGTACCCTAATTGTTTATAGTCATGTTATTTATTGTCAAAAATATTCAACGCAACTTGATAAAATGAGATGGCTCTGAGTTTCAATGAGCTTACTTGTTAGGTCTAATTTGTGTTTGCACCATATTTTCTCAATCTATAATCCCTCAGATGTGGAACTGGAAATCATAATAAGAATGCTAATACTACGAATATTAAACAATTACAGTATTATACTTTTAGCATACTAGTACACTGCTTTTCAATTAAAAGATACAATATAAAACTGTTTAATTAAAGTAAATAATTCTAGTTTAAAAAGCCAGTTGGAATTATTCTGTCATGTGGCATTAGGTTAAGTTCAAATACAGCTTGTACTCATCTGCTCATGTTAGGATGTGTCTAGATGTTTCAAATATGTGATTAATATAATACCCACCTAAGCTAAATCTCCAGGCAAGAGTTTTTTTTTTTCATCAGACCTCTAATAAATAAATAGAGCTTCTGTGTCTAAACACCAGTTCAGTACTTTAGTTAAGTTTTCCCAAATAAAAATCATAGAAAACCAATATATGCATAAAATGCTCTACATTAGGTTAATTTAGCAAAAAATAAATAATTTAATATTTAAATTAAAATATTAATATTGTAGCAATAAAATTAAGGAAGAAAATGATTAAACTGTAACTGTGGTGATAATTTATTTTATTTTTTTATTTACACATACAATTTGGAGAAATGTTCTGAATCATTTTACAAAAAGGTAATATTTATTTTTCTTTTCCATTCTGCATCTTGCTGGAAATTAAACCTTTGAAGCTTTAGAATTGTTTTCAGAAGATTGGGAGCAAAAGGCTTTTAAACTAACCTCGTTAATGGAGTTACAGTGTAACACCAGGACATAATTTAAAAATTATCTAAACCGAGCGATTTTATATCTTTGCCCAATAAAAGGGATCCAATGTTTTCAGATAACTACAGTCCATGTTCAGTGTAAAAAGCCTAATTTAATGGCACTGACATGTGTGTCTGTGTCATCAAACTGTCAGTCAAACCAATGAGTGAAAAAAGAGTCTCAGCTGCTGCTGGTTAAGTGGAATCGAAACTATCCTCTTCTGCTCTGTGGTGTGGTTTGTGGAAAGGACTGCAAGGCTGAGATGAAATAGTTCATTCATGCACTCACTGTGGAAAAAAACATGGTGAAGATGTAGACAGAGGCCTCCAGCAGGTAATGACTCCGGATGGCAATGGCCACCGGGGGGACAAACATCAGGTTGCTGAGACAGAGCAACAGGGTAGAGAGCAGCTGGAAGCCATAGGTGTACGCCTCAGAGTTATCGGTGCAGCCCCAGCCATCCCACCCTGTGCCAAGGAAAGAAGGAAAGAACACCTCAGTGCTTTGGAAAAGCCGCATTCTACACCAAATTGGTCAGGCAGAATGTTTATTTGCAAAAAGAGCATTGTCTCACACACCCATTTATCTTTTACTGTTTTGGACATCTTTGGTTTCCCCACATGGCTGTCGTATAAATGTCAATCTTTTGGAATGAGCAGTGACACAAGACCTCTGAATCACCTACTGTCACGGACGTCCAAAGGGACTACCTGAGGTCAGCAGGAGAGCGGAAAAAGACCCATATGTGTAGCGGCAAGATGGGAAAAAGGCCCGGGCTCATGAGTGCAAAGAGTTCAGGAATGCCGTATAGAGACCTATGCCCTCAGGTAGCGAACGTGAGGCGACCTGGTGCTAGGCGGGTCTCAGGACATCCGAACGTCAATGCTGAGCGAGGGCAGAGAGCAAGACCCCAGAAATATATAGCCCGAGGGAAAGAGAGGGACCGGAAGGACAGCAGACCGGAAACTAGGGACAGGACAGAGAAGGAGCGCCATCTGGCTACAGAGGGCGTGACACCCACAAGTTCAGGCAACAAGATAAAACTGCATTTTGGTCTTTTTGGCTGTTTTGCACAAACTGTTGTTTTGCGTGTGCATTATCCTTACGTCAAAGATAGACGTTTTAGTATGATGTCATGTTTATTCAAACAGTTGTATAAGTAGTGTGTGCAACAGCTACAAGTACCTATTGAATTCACAGTGTGCAAGGTATATAAAATTACCCCCACCCCTATTTTCCCTGTTATTAAGTCAATTACAGTATTACTGTTATCCCATATTTCCAGTTGGTTTGTTTTGTGCCTCTATCATTATTATATGGTGGTTGCTGGAAGGTTCTAGAGTTGTACCAATGGAGGGGGCATGAGGACTGCACAGCATCCACATGCTGTTATCAGTTCAAAACATGAGAAAACAACTGATCAAATTATTAAAATGTGACAGTTTTTACTTTTAGAATAATAAAAGGGAAATGTAATTTTCAAATCAAACTTGCTTGAAGTGTTATTTTTCAAGGGCAACAGACATGTATTGTACATGGACAGTATTCCATTGCTTGCTTGGTGTGTGAAGAAATTCCTTAAAAAATGCTAAAACATTTCTATGTTTTATTAAATAGCTAATCTTTACAGGATACTTGAATATCAACATGCACCTCCCCCGAATAACTGCACTTGTTAATTACACAGATATTGAAACAGATTAGCAGTCATACTTTTTTAGGGATGTCAGAAAAATAAAATAAAGATCTGCTGTCTGAATAACGAGGCTCAGTTGCTATGTGTCAGATAAAAGAAAGATGTAACGATTGTTAAATTTAGAGCAGATGGTGACTAAAAAAGAATAATTAACCAGCCATATTCATATGCATTAATGGCAGCACAGTTTACAATATGTATCCAAAGGGAAATAGTCAGACTTAAGCGCTGTATAATTTAGGTATAATTGAGAAATAGTAATTTGCATATTTGATGACATTATTACAACTCTTTCCTCTAATTAGGCATTTTTTGATGAGCTATTTTTTTATAAACAAGAGATGAAATGGCAAATTTAATTGTATAATTTACCATACCCAAGCCAATTATCTATGATGGGCATCCCATCATAACAACAAAGCTAAACAGGGAGATGAAAATATCATTGTGATTAAAACATCATTAGCTTTGATGTATAAAACATTTTGAAATGTTAAAACGGTTAGAATTAAAAATATTAAAATAAAAACAGTTACATTAACCTAAAACGTTGAGATATAGTTTATATAGAACTTTATATCTTTTCTAAATATTGAAAACATTTTTTCCTGTTGATAAACACAGCAAAATATAGGAATATATGTTTTTCCTATACTGTAGGAACTTTTTTTGCAAAAACATTAAGATATATACACTTTCCAACTACAAGAAACTCACCGCTCTGTACTAGTACTATGAAAAACTGGGATGAATAACAATTTTTATTGTTAAGTTTAGTTGCTAAAAGAATTCCAAGAAAATAACGACTATTGTCAGAGGCCTGATCTGCCTTTTTTAGAAAAGGTAAAATATTTTTCCTTACCTGCTTTGCATTCACATGCTGCATACAAGTAATTGTTTGTCCGCAGAAGTTTGCATTGTCCGTAAGTTCCACAGTCGTTGATACACGGAGTGAGATATGACCTTAAGTACACTTCAGCAGTAACATTGCTGCATGCTTCAAACCTTTAGAGAAAGCAAGGAGCCATGAATTAATGCACAGTGACAGTCAGTCCATATGATACCTCTCTTTCTGTCTGAATTTGTTTACAGAGGAAATGATTTTCTAAGCCTCAGTAAGCTCCCAATAAAGAACAACATGGCCTGTATTCTAAGCATCTTGAATAATTAATTGCACACTACTTTTAGACTGCTTTATTATTTTCCTGATCTGGTAAGCAGACACTGACTGTGTCCTAGGCCAAAGCATCATTCATTTCCTCACTGAAATGTATTATTTGGATGCTTCTTTAGTCGTTTATTTAGTTTACATTTGTAGACTTTCTGGACAAATGGACTCAGAACAATGTGTAAAGCTTTCACATTTACGGGGCTCAACTCACAGAATTCTTTACAAAAAAAAAAGAAATAAAGGAGATATACAGCCTTATTTTGTGCCACAGCTGTTTTGATGTCAGCTTTATTGCTCTATGTGAAAAATCAGAAGCATTTTCAAGCATTATGAAAATAATGCTTCCCCAGCTGTTTGATTTAAGTGCTAATTACCAATCAGCATAATTTTTGCATTGTATTAATCAAATTAAGTCCTAATGACGAGTGATAAAATCCTGCCCTTAAATAAATCGAAAGTAAAACTGCACAGATACAGTACAGTACTGTAAATAACCGGAAAGCTGGTTTCCATCTGTATTTCATAATAATCTTTCACTGTGCAATAGTGCTGCTTCGTAAGTTGGCCTCATCTTACACAATCTCTCATGTGATTACAGGGATCTTACCCTCGCTCTGTGGCACAGAGGGAGCGCAGACCCAGGTACCAGGTGCCAGTCTGTGGGTAGGGAATCCTCAACTTGGTGATATTCGAGGTAGCATTGAGAGAGAGAATGAACCCTGCTGTGGACTCTTGGAACAACAAGCAGAAAATGGAAAGAAAATACTTTTTTTGTCAGCAATGACAAAGATCCAGAAATTATTTTTCTATGTGTTGACAGTGAATTCAGGGTACAAAAGAAATAATTCTGATGATTATCACGGGAAAACGAGATGTAGAGGGAAAAATGGTACTTGACATTTTATACTACTTGAAACCATAGTTACATCTCTAGGATGAGTTTTGTCAGGGAGTGAAGCTCAGTTAGATTTGAAGAAAAAAATATATCTGTATTAACTATATAATCTGGAGCCTCTGATCTCTGCTTTGTTGCTTACGTTCCAGTTTGCAGTTTTGACTCAATCATCCAATTAACTGGGGCTGATTTAAATAACAATTAGGCCGTTCGCATCTGATAGAGTTTAATCCTGTTACAGATAAAACGTTTAAACAGTAGGGAGAATTGTCAACCTGGTCCAGATACTGTAGTATTATGCCACGATCCATCTCAATAGCCACAGAACACCCTTACAGCATCCCAGAGACTGCTACAACTAGGGATGCCTTGAGTGATATACTGTAGAAACTAATGGTTTATCCTAATACTGTAAATAACTTGTCTGAAACCTTCATCCAAGGTGACTTGCAAGAGTTACACATGAAAAATTACAAATGCAAGTTAAAATCTTCTGTGTGCCGTAAACACTTGGTCAGTAACTTACAGTGCCTTGCGAAAGTATTCGGCCCCCTTGAACTTTTCAACCTTTTGCCACATTTCAGGCTTCAAACATAAAGATATAATTTTTTTATTTTATGT